GCCTGTGTGCCTTCAAGGTAACTTCCTAACAGAATTATTGGAACCTTATATTAAATTAGCAGTCTTAAAGTGAAGTTTCTCCAACACCGTCCTATCAATGACCAGCTGATTTAACATCTTCCATTCAGGTTTCCATGCCAACAACAGTACAGAGACTGTCCTTATAGTCGATGACATCCCTATAAAGAACCACAGTCCTGGTATTCTTGGACCTTAGTGTGTCGTGTCACACGGTTGATCACTGAATTTATTAGTGTCTGGTAAACTGGGTCAGCCTTTGATCTGGGAGCGCCTCATGCTTCCCTACCAGAGGTAGGGAAGCATGGGGGGATACAGGGGGATCTAATGAGGGAAAACTAGCCTCGATCGCAAATCATATGGTTGGAAGAAAATCAAACATGTTTGAAAAATTGTGAGCATATCCTAATGTTGAAGCAGAGCTACAGACAATCTAGGGAATTCTTCCTTCCTTATTTTAATTCCAGATAAACGAGTCAGACCAACGGCATCTCTCTACAGCTCCGGGTCCAAAGAGTCGTCATACAGTTGGATGATGTCGGGCTGAACCAGGCAAGAACACCATTGATGAGCCGTGAACTTTTACACCCTGCGGTTTCACTGTGTAGTTTAAGATGCAGTTTAATACAAGGATAGAAAATATCAAACAGAGTATACATGACTTTAAAGGAATAGTACACCCAAAACATGATTAGCCTTCATTTTCTACTCACCCCCATGCTGAACAACACTCTGGAGTACTTTTTTGATATCTCAAATGCATCTGGAGATCTGGGAGGCTTCTTGCTGTCTGCTGACATTCAAATAATGGAGGTCTATGGCGCCCGAGGCAGAAAGGTCCATAAAAGTCCACAAAAAACGTGTCAATATTCCTCCATACTGCTCGTCCAATGTATTCCAAGTGTCCTGAGTGGGTAGCGTCCAGAATTTACTCGAAACGAAGTCATTTAGAATGTTTTTAGAGCATAAACAGTAGTGTATAGGATTTCCTGAAAGCGCGTTCACGAGTCTACGGAAACCGCGGCAGACCAAACCAGATGAAAGTGCGCATTCAGCGTCTGCTCTGCCGATAATGCAAGCGTAGAAGAAGAAATGTGCTGTTTACCTGTGCAAAGAAAGAAACAACGAAAGAAAAATGTCTGAGGACTTCAGTGTTGAGGAAGAGCATGAGTTATTTGCCAAGCTGAATGCGCACTTTCATCTGGTTTTGTCTCCCGCGGTTTCCGTAGGCTCGTGAACGCGCTTTCAGGAAATCCTATACACTATTTTTTATTCTCTAAAACATTCTAAATGACTTCGTTTCGAGTAAATCCTGGATGCTACCCACTCAGGACACTTGGAATACATTGGACGAACAGTATGGAGGAATATTGACACGTTTTTTGTGGACTTTTATGGACCTTTCTGTCTCGGGCACCATAGACCTCCATTATTTGAATGTCAGCAGACAGCAAGAAGCCTCCCAGATCTCCAGATGCATTTGAGATATCAAAAAAGTACTCCAGAGTTTTGTTCAGCATGGGGGTGAGTAGAAAGTGAAGGCTAATCATGTTTTGGGTGTACTATTCCTTTAAGAGCATCTCCAGGATTAGAGAAATAATGTTGAAAAATTACTGCCTACTTCGTTTATCTACAGTAGAAATGATCCCTGCAGCGTCTCCACAGGTCTGCATAGAAAGTAGATCATAGAGCTGCAGTTGATCCAGACGCTGCTGCCTGCGTCCTCACTAGAGCTATAGAAAGTAGATCAGACAGCCGAGTTTTTCTCGGTACCAGAGTTCGTTTGCGTTTCTCCAGATCTCCACATCAGGCTGTTCTCCTCAATGAGGGTCAAAGGTCGCCTTATCTCCTGCCTCCTGTGCGAAATGTTTCTTTATGACAAACTCTGCCGTATCAGACAGTAAACTGATTGATAATAATGCAGATCAGACCAGCGGCCGTTTGTTGTTTCATTGTTTGCTGAATTAATTATTAAAGAACCACTATGGTTAAAATAACTGAATGTCTGCAGGTGAACATTTGATTTTCCAGTTACGGTATTTTAGTGTTTTTACTCTTATCTGCTGTTTTCGCTGCTGTCGAACCTGAACGTCTCTCTGTGAGACAATCAAGGTATTTCTGTTCTAAGCAAGGGTTTGTTTTCAGCTCAGCTTCATGGTGCAACTTTCTGTAGAACATCTCAGTCCCACAACACTTCAAAGAAAAGAAAACTAAAAGTAAATGATCAAAGCAGTAGATCATAGGAGAGAAAGGAGAAAATAATAAACTAAGGCGATATAAAGCCATACAATAATAACAAATAAAAGGATTATGCATGTAGAGAAACTACTGATATTTTGATGTCAAAGTCTCCTTTAATAAACATTTTTAATGTTGATTTGAAGCAGCTGAGGATTTCAGCACTTTTTCTGAGAGTTTACTTCAGATTAGTGGAGCAGAGGAACTAAAAGCTGCATCTCCCTGTTTGGTTCTGATCCAGTAGAAAAGAAAGGTCAGGCTGTCGATCCCCTGCAACCAGTCCGCACGTTAAAAAGCTTGAAGCCAGTATTCTCCAGCAAGCTATTCAGTGATTTCTAGAAAGTATATTCTCTGAGCTACGCCGAGTTTAAACGGGTTTTTTCCCAGTTGGAACTGGGTATAATTTATGGACCATAACTTTTTCTGGGAGATTTGAGATGGGCCTGTAGTTCTGCGGGACCCATTTGTTCAAATTTCTATTTTTCCTTTTTATAATGCGAATTTTATTGTGTTTATTGTTGACACTGATATTTACGACGGAGTATTAGGGCCACACATGAAGATAAAAAATATTTTTGACATGTCGACATTAAATGTCGCAAGTTTTATCGGAATTACAGAGTATTTCTTCTCTGAAAGAAGAGCAAAACACTGCTCTGGAGGCTTTTCTCAGAGGAAAAGATGTTTTTGCTCTTCTCCCCACTGGTTTCAGCAAGAGTTTGATCTATCAATTGGCTCCTCTTCGTCGTCGCTCTGTTAGTACGTCATATGCTTCGTTGATCTGACTGGTACTTCGTTGAAGTAGCTTTTTCTCCCAACTCTGACTATATTGTTCAAATTCCTCACATACAATAAGACAAACATCTAAAAACTGTTTGGAACGTAAGAAAACAAAAAGGGTGGGAAAACTTTAACACATTACTGATTGAAAAGATTCCACAAAAGTTAAAATCAATCCTCTGGACTTTGTTTCCAAGTCTGAAGACGTTTCTCTTCCATCCAGGAAGATTTTTCAATTCAAAATGTCAGAAATCGCGTTTAGTTCCAGGTTTTATCCAGCAGCCCAACAAAGCCTGGTTTTAGTTTAGAAAACATGCAAATAGAAACGGATGAACGGGTCCCCCCCTTTGGAATGGGGGTCGTTTGGCTTCTTTGCCCCATACCTGTCTATTACCCCATTTCCACTACCCTTGAAAAACCGATCCATGCCGAGACCGGTCCGAGCTCGGACCGGTTAACTGATCCGAGCTCGGTTCTGACGACCGTTTACATATCACTCTATCTCGGTTCCTCGACTCCTCGCCTCCTAGTGACGATCTGTGGTATTACTGCCAGTATTGAAGGAGGAAATCAAGCAGTTGGTGGCGGTAATGCACCAAAAGTTGTTTGCCAACCGCCATAAAACACAAGAAGAAGAAGAAGGAGGGAATCAAGCAAATCATAATGGCGGCGCCCGTCAAATTCAGAAAGTTATGCTTGATTATTATTGCTGTACTTCGGTGTTATTATTTAAAATGTTGCCTGGAGAAGATTTCGATTGTTGTTTATAGTTGAAGAGGTTTTTCTTCTTCTTCTGTTTCTGGAGGGGCATTAGCGCCAACTAGTGGAATGGAGTGTGAATCGGGATGTGCAGCCAGATGGAGATGACGCTTTCTGCTCATGCACTCTTGTTATCAGAGAACCGAGCCAGGGAAAAACCGAGCCGAGCCCACCTCTGGAACTGGTCTGCAGTTAGCTCAGTCCGGTTGTGTCTAGCTCGGTCCGGTTGTGTCTAGCTCGGTCCGGTTGTGTCTAGCTCGGTTCGGTTGTGTCTAGCTCGGTCCGGTTGTGTCTAGCTCGGTGCGGTTGTGTCTAGCTCGGTCCGGTTGTGTCTAGCTCGGTTCGGTTGTGTCTAGCTCGGTTCGGTTGTGTCTAGCTCGGTCCGGTTGTGTCTAGCTCGGTCCGGTTGTGTCTAGCTCGGTCCGGTTGTGTCTAGCTCGGTCCGGTTGTGTCTAGCTCGGTTCGGTTGTGTCTAGCTCGGTCCGGTTGTGTCTAGCTCGGTTCGGTTGTGTCTAGCTCGGTCCGGTTGTGTCTAGCTCGGTTCGGTTGTGTCTAGCTCGGTCCGGTTGTGTCTAGCTCGGTTCGGTTGTGTCTAGCTCGGTCCGGTTGTGTCTAGCTCGGTTCGGTTGTGTCTAGCTCGGTCCGGTTGTGTCTAGCTCGGTTCGGTTGTGTCTAGCTCGGTCCGGTTGTGTCTAGCTCGGTCCGGTTGTGTCTAGCTCGGTCCAGTTGTGTCTAGCTCGGTCCGGTTCAGTTTGCTTTCCATTCACACACCATAAGTTATCTCAGTTACTGAGCTCGGACCGGTCTAGGCACGGTTTTTCAAGGTTAGTTTAAATGGAGTATATGTCTCTGAAAGGGGGGGTCCTTAGAGGGAATAGTTGGCCTGGCTGAACAGGCGAGGTCTCCTGTTCTCTTCTAAAGGAGTTGGAGCTACGATGATAGCGGGAAGGAATCAACTTAATTGTAGGTTCAAAAACCTACAATGCAGCAACTGACTAAACCCCCCCTCCTTACAGAGACATAGACAGGTATGGGGCATTAGAGGCTTTGGAATGACTTGGACCTGGATGACTGAGAATCTTCCCCAGCACGTATGACTGGATTCATTTAATTCCATCCTACAGCAGATCAGTCCTGGATGGATTAAATAAAACTAAAAACTTTAAATAAAGCAGAATTCATTAATCAGTTTTCCACAACAGAAATAAATGATTCATAAATAACCAGTTTATTCACAAAAATTTACATTGAAAACAACAAAAAAAGATATTCAAACCAAGGAGACAAACGTTTAAAGTGGCATCAAATGTCATTGTGGAAAACGTGTGACTCAATCTGAGAATCTGAGGCGGCGTTTGATGAAAACTGATTCATGTCTCCACGTCGTTCACAGACGCAGACGGAAGGACGTTAGAGCTGGAAGTCTGCCTGCGCTGCAACAGGTTCAGCGGAACGAGGAACGGGTTGAGAGGCGGGCAGAACCTGGAGCCTCCTGGATCGCCGTCGGGACCGGCCGTTCCTGGAGCCGGACTGCGTGCCGGGTCGGGATCTGGAGCTGCGGGCGCCTGCGTGTCCTTCAGCATGGAGAGCAGCTGCTTTGCAGACCTAGAGTCCGCAGGAGCCCAGAGGGCCTGATGCATCTAAACCAGCAGGAGAGACAGGAAGGTTCATCTAGAATGACCGTTTCTATAGCGCGACAGTATTCAATTCTATTCAGTTTATTTCTATAGCTCCAATTCACATCCTGTCATCTCAGGTCACTTTCCAGTTCACCAGATCATCCAGTCAGATTGATTCAAAGTTTTCTATCTAAGGAAAACCAGCTGATTGCATCGACTCATTGACTGTTCAGCAATCCCTCACACTGAGCATGCTTGTAGCGACAGTGGAGAGGAAAAACTCCCTTTGAACAGGAAGAAACCTCCAGCAGAACCAGGCTCAGTGTGAGCGGCCATCTGCTGAGGCCCACTGGGGTTCAAGGAGACAGAAGCAGAGATAGAAAAAGAAGCATAGATACACTTTTGGGTGGTTTTTGAAGCGTATGGCGATCTGACCTTAAATAGTTTTTTTTGTTCATGACTAAAGGGTTACATGCCCGTTTAGGTAGTTTAAAGTTTATTTATCGTGTAAAATTAAAGAGATAAAAGCAAATCTGACGTCTAGCGCTTGAATATAGACTATGGGTACGCTCATCTGACAGAACGGCGGTACGCTGGATTAACCTCTCGACCTCAGGCTCCATGCGAGGCGCCCTGATGGACTTTGATGTACGGCAAGGTTTAGCGCTTTGTGTTCCCTCAGCTGTCCTTCGCTTCTGCCCCTTTCCCATTGGCTGAAAAACCCATTTAAAGTGGGAAACAATCAGCAGTGGGAGCAGCTGACGCTAACCCAGCGTGATGATGTCACCAGACAGGGATTAGACCAGCTTTCTAGCCAGTGGGGAAGGAACCAGAAGCTGATTGTTAGCGGGTCCACCCGTGTTCTAAAAACACGCGTTAGCCCGCTATTTGCTTTAAAGAACGCAGCGTTATGGCGTTCTCCATTAGAGGAGACACCGCAGTCCTCAGGTTTGTCGTTGCTCTTCAATTTTTGGATGCGGTTCTGGAAACGGGTCTGGACGCAGCTCCTCCTAGAGGCTCCACGCTGAAGATCTCACCGCCTGCCTGAATGCTAGTTTTCTGACGCCGTCTGCTGCTGGCAGCCAAGGAGATCAGCGTTGGTGGGAGAGGCGCCGCCTGCGAAGGCGCACGCAACGATTCATTTGGTTTTCATCTAGAGGCAAGGCGGCCGCTTAGATCGGACCTTTTGACCAATCGGACGCAGTTAATACAAAAAGCCAGCGTCGTCTGGACGGCGCTAAACGCAGTTTAGAGTTTTAATCACCACGGTAACAGCCATGGCGATGTCCTGTTCGATACACAGCATCGTAAAAGGTTTTGTCTTTTCAAAACTAGTTCTTTTCAGCATGAACGTTTCCGTAAATAAGACGTTTCCAGAAACATTGACCTCCTGGAGACGTTTATCTGTGGCGAATCCAGGAACCATCAGCGTCTCTTTCCTTTTCTCCCTGGATGGCGTCCCAGCATGACGGAGGTGGTTTTATTGGTAAAGTTGGTTTGAGGACAGATTTTATACGCTTTCCTGTATTTGCAACTGATTCATGTTAACAATGTTTGTTTAGTGCAAATAAATAAAGCTGGCGTGGCTTCAGGCTGGTTTATGGGACGGTTATCATGGCCGCATTGTGAAACAGAGGCTTTTATTAGTCTCATTGTGGAACAGAAATTACGGCGGCGATGCTGGGAAACCGCTGGCTTGGTTTGAGCGGGTTAAACATTTGGACTCATTAAACAAGCAGGAACCAAACAGCAGAACCTACCTGGACCAGGTGGGCCTGCAGCTTCCTGCAGTCCAGGTGAGGGAGCTCTTCAGGGAGGGACATCAGCAGGTCCAAAACTACCGCACTCTCTGGAGGACAAAGAGATGATGTCATCTTTACGAGGGTCACGGCCAAAGACTTTAGAGTACAGCAATAAAAGTTATTTATTGTCTTTTGTTCTTTGGTTTTCCTTGATGAACCAGAAACATCCTCCAACATGAAAACTGGGTCAGTGAGTAACGTTAGCTAGCTCTCCATGATGCTACTGAGGAACCTCAGATGCTTCTGGAAGCTTTTAGTATTCTGCTCAAACCAGCAGAAATCTATAGATGGAAATCTCTATGGAGAGCAAAGAATGCCACCAATTCAATACATTAATAAAAGTGTTTATTTGTAAATTGAATATTTCAAATAAAAACATCTTTTTATCCCTATTTTTTTTAAATAAACAACAATTTTTAAAGTCGTAGGGAAGCGGCCTTTCCAACCGTTGCATTTCCGAATTCTCCCGAGTGGTACCCGACTTTACACGAGTGAATAAAGTGAATGTGATTGGTCGATTATCAAGGGGGCGGGATTGTTGTGGCGGAAGGTTAGCAAGCAAGTTTAATTGTGGCCAGTTTGTTGGAAGCATCTTGCTAACCAGTTAGCATCTTAGTGCTAGCAGGTTCCCAATGGGAAATTCCATTGGGACCAAGTAGCACTAAATTGGTGACTTAGAAACGACGCTGTCAAGGAACGCTATGGACAGCGGAAACATGCAAGAGGAGGAGAGTTTAGTGTCGGAGGTCGTGGATGAGTCTCCTCCGTCATCCATTTTTTATTTAGAGGAGGAAAGCGGGGACGAAGATGTTGTGGAAGAGGACGCCAGGGCAGCAGAAGCTTGGTTTGGTGTAGAAGGCTTCCAGCCGTACATGTTTGAGCCCTTGCCTCGCAACGCTGCCAGTTCTGTTAGCTCTACGCCTGCCGAAGACACAGACGTCCATCCCCGTGAACACTGGGACGCAACTCAATGGGAAAGGAAAGGATTCTGGTTTCAACCGTTGCGTATATTAGCTGCGACACATGAATCAAGATGCTATGACCGAAAACATTTGATTGACAGATGACCGTTGATATATGATTGCAATAATTTAACAAAGGGCATTATTAGGCCCGAGCAGCGAAGGCCTATTGTACTTCGAATGTTTGTTATTCTTATTTTTCTCCCCAATGAATTGCTTATTTGGAGGCTTCAACAAACTGGAAAAGTCACCAAACTTGACCAGAAATTGTCCCTCGCATGAAATGGAAATGGGCGCCCCCTAGAATGAGATAGGGAATACCGTAAGTCACAGAGATTTGAAATTTGGTACATAGGTAGATCTCATAACATCATGAAAAAAAGTCTCTTGGAGGTATGCCCTAAAACCCACAGGAAGTCGGCCATTTTGGGTCAAAGTGCGATTTTTGGCCATTTCTCATTTTTGTTCACGTCAAACTTTTGCAAACTCCTCCCAGGGATTATGAGCTGTTGGATTCAAACTTGGTGTGTTGGTAGTAAAGACACGTGAGATTAAAAGTTATCAGAAATCCTGAGTTTTCGTGAATGCTGAAGGGGTCGCCCGGGGCCCCGAAGTTAGGGTACTTTTCAAGAAATTCACAATGGAATAACTTTTACAACAAAGTTTTACAAAAAATTCACTCGGCTCCCGCTGTCGCGACAGGCCAGGCGGTGCGAGCTGCGAGGGCCACGCAATGCCGCTTGCGGCTTTAATTGGAATTGTTGTTTGATGCCCCCCTTTCAGAGACATAGACCGGTTTCAGGTTTTACAGGCTAACAGAGAAACAAAACAACTGCCATTCCAAAGGGGTGGACCCATTCGTCTGTTTCTATTTGCATTTTTTCTAAACAGAAACAAAGCTTCCTGGATGGGAAGAGAAACGTCTTCAAACTTGGAAACTAAGTCCAGTGGATTGTTTTCTAACGTCCCTTGGAATGACTGTGACCTGGATGAACAGTGTATTCTCATTATGAGTTCGTATGAAATCGTACGAAAAGTTATGCACCGTAATTTCGTACATTGCTGACGTTTTTTTTTGTAGTATTTCGTCGTATTTTTACGTCTTGCCTCAAGACAAGATATCCTTGCACATGCGCATCTTACGCACCATCAAATAACATAGGATTTAACATACAATTAACCCTAACCCTAAGATATAAAACAGCAAGCAACGTAGTTAGAGACATGAAGAAGTAATTATTGCACTGTTTTTCCAAGTTTTACGTCTGTCCGCGGATCTGCTTTTTGCGTCTGTCTGCCTGCGCACTGATCTGTTTTTTCGAGGAAAAACGTCCAAAACGTACAAAATACTGTGCATAACTTTTCGTACGATTTCATACCAACTGATAATGAGAATATGTTGGGATGAATCTCCACCATCACTTTAAGAGCCAGAAGATTCAGCTCCCACCCGCCCCAGTCTAACTCACTCTTCAATGAAGGATCTGATTGAACCCAATCATACGAGGGAGTTAACGACCCATCAGAACCCCCCCCCACTACCATTAACACCCCCCATGGCCAATCCAGTAGAAGGGATTGCCATCTTTAGTTCCCCCTAACTTTGTTCCACCTCCAGTATATTCATCCCAGTTCTCCCACTAGTTAGAGCTATAGAAGCGTCTTAGATGAGAAACGTCTTCCAGAAAACGTCCGTTTGCCTAAACTGAACTTTTTCCAGCCTATCAGCTAACAGTGGTGGTAAACCTGCCCAGGTTATTATTCGCTCCTCCAGTCTTTATATGATGTAGAAATGATTTCTTCAACAAACGTTTAGAGTAAACTCACAGTGAGCTTTAAATAAAAATGTTAAAACAAAGGAGCCTGAATCTAAGCTTTGGGTCATGGAGGAACTGGGAGTTCTGGGAGGAAACCAGCAGCCTGAGACTCGGTCTCACCTTTTCTGTCATTCTGCTTTATGATCCAGGGATACTACCACTTACTATCATCTGGATTTTATGAGTGCCGCTCAGTAAGGACAAACCTGAATAAAGTTTGTTGCCTGGATAATTGTTGCACCTGTTGGTATCTTATCAGCGGTTATAGTAGAATCCTGATTGATTGATTGATAGAGATTATAAAACTCCTCCTTCGATAACTGTTTGGCTTCCTAGCAGATCTGCTAACAGGATCTGGATCCCAGTGCTGTAGAAACATGGACTCAAGGACCTCAGGGACCTTCTGCTTTAACCAAGCATCTAAACAGTCAGAGTTCAAAGAGGAAGCTACGGAAGAGGATTAGGGCCACTGAAAAAAAAATTAACAGATTTTTACATTTTATTTCAGTTTAACATGGAAAAAAAAGTCTGACTTTTTTCTGAGAATTATGACTTTTTTCTCCGAATTATGACTTTAATCTCCGAATTCTGACTTTTTTCTGAATTCTGACTTTAATCTCCGAATTCTGACTTTTTTCTGAATTCTGACTTTAATCTCCGAATTCTGACTTTAATCTCCAAATTCTGACTTTAATCTCCAAATTCTGACTTTTTTCTGAGAATTCTGACTTTTTTCCTCCGAATTCTGACTTTAATCTCTGAATTCTGACTTTTTTCTGAGAATTCTGACTTTTTTTCTCCGAATTCTGACTTTAATCTCCGAATTCTGACTTTTTTCCGAATTCTGACTTTAATCTCCGAATTTTGACTTTAATCTCCGAATTCTGACTTTTTTTCTCCGAATTCTGACTTTAATCTCCGAATTCTGACTTTTTTCTGAATTCTGACTTTAATCTCCGAATTCTGACTTTAATCTCCAAATTCTGACTTTTTTCTGAATTGTGACTTTAATCTCCGAATTCTGACATTAATCTCCGAATTCTGACTTTTTTCCGAATTCTGACTTTAATCTCCGAATTTTGACTTTAATCTCCGAATTCTGACTTTTTTTCTCCGAATTCTGACTTTAATCTCCAAATTCTGACTTTTTTCTGAGAATTCTGACTTTTTTCCTCCGAATTCTGACTTTAATCTCTGAATTCTGACTTTTTTCTGAGAATTCTGACTTTTTTTCTCCGAATTCTGACTTTAATCTCCGAATTCTGACTTTTTTCCGAATTCTGACTTTAATCTCCGAATTTTGACTTTAATCTCCGAATTCTGACTTTTTTTCTCCGAATTCTGACTTTAATCTCCGAATTCTGACTTTTTTCTGAATTCTGACTTTAATCTCCGAATTCTGACTTTAATCTCCAAATTCTGACTTTTTTCTGAATTGTGACTTTAATCTCCGAATTCTGACATTAATCTCCGAATTCTGACTTTTTTCCGAATTCTGACTTTAATCTCCGAATTTTGACTTTAATCTCCGAATTCTGACTTTTTTTCTCCGAATTCTGACTTTAATCTCCAAATTCTGACTTTTTTCTGAGAATTCTGACTTTTTTTTCTCCGAATTCTGACTTTAATCTCCGAATTCTGACTTTTTTCTGAATTGTGACTTTAATCTCCGAATTCTGACATTAATCTCCGAATTCTGACTTTAATCTCCGAATTCTGACTTTAATCTCCGAATTCTGACTTTTTTCTGAATTCTGACTTTAATCTCCGAATTCTGACATTAATCTCCGAATTCTGACTTTAATCTCCGAATTCTGACTTTTTTCTGAATTCTGACTTTAATCTCCGAATTCTGACTTTTTTCTGAATTCTGACTTTTTTTCTCAGAATTCTGACTTTTTTCTGAATTCTGACTTTTTTTTTCAGAATTCAGACTTTTTTCTCAGAATTGTGGATCTTAATGTAGATGGGCACCATGAAGGCAGAGATGTGGAGCACTCAGCTTCACTGACAAAGATGCGAGTTGTTTGAGGTGGCCAGTGACACATCGGTGGAAAATGACAGAATTAGGCAACTTTTTACGTGCCCGAGGGGTCCCCTCATTAATGGAGGAGCAGAAGGTCATTAAAACAAGAAAGCTAGTCTCTAAAACAGACATGGCTACGGCTTGATGCTAACATGTTTGATAGCTGTAAGAATTCTGAGATTAAAGTCAGAATTCTGACTTTTTCCCCATACTAAGCTGAAATAAAATGTAAAAATTGGTTAACTTTTTTTTTTTTTTCAGTGGCCCTAATCCCCTTCCGTAGGAAGCAGCGTCTCTGCCCCTGTTCATAATAACACTGTTGAACAGGATGGATAGTTGAATCTGGGATCCAGGAGGAGCAGTGTGGTTTTCATCCTGGTTGTGGAACCCTGGATCAGCTCTACACCCTCAGCAGGATCCTGGAGGGTTCATGTGGGTTTGCCCAACCAGTCTACATGTGTTTAGTGGATCTTGAGAAGGCATTCGACCGTGCCCCTCGGGGGGTCCTGTGGGGGGGTACTCCGGGAGTATGGAGTACCGGCCCTTTAATGGAGGCTGTTAGGTCTCTGTATGACCGGTGTCAGAGCCTGGTCTGCATTGCCGGCAGTAAGTCAGACTCGTTTCCGGTGAGGGTTGGACTCCGCCAAGGTTGCCCTTAGTTACCGATTCTGTTAATAACTTAACAAACATAACTCAACATAACTTAACTAAAAAAAAAAAACCAATAAATGATGTTAGAACTGGTAATATACAGTCATGTGTTTATATTACAGCCGTTTTCAAGGCTGCACTTATCTTGGGGTCTGTTAACGAATGAGCTGCGCGGTCGAAAAGTGGCTCTGACGCGCGTTGGGCGGAGCTACTCTATCCTTTCTCTGCCTTGCAGCTATATTTGCTGTGATCAGTGGGAATAAAGTAGTTTTAATATGTTTTTAAGTGGGAAAATCCACCTGAAAACTTAATCAGTGCAGTCAGTTCATCCTGCCTTCCAATATTATTTCTGTGGGAGCCGCTCAGACCCCCCCATCCCAGCGGTGCGCTGTCAGTAGGATCCCATTCAACGGGCTTGTTTGTCAGACATGGTCATTTTTCTAAAGGAAAACTGCTAAGTAAAAAGGTCCTCACAATGTTACAGTGAATATTAGACACTGAAATTATTTTTTTATGTAAGAGGAAAAATGTAAATGGAAAAATCAGAGCTTAAAATAAAACTCAAGATTTGTACTTTTTTATGTTGTGTAATTTTCTTTTTCTTCGAATTGATTTTATAAAACTGGTATCGAAAAAAGTATCGTTCAGGAACCGGTATCGAAGTGAAGGTATCGGTATTGGTACCGGAACCGAAAATTTTTGAACAATACTCAGCCCCACCTGGACGTCTTCCTGGTGAGGTGTTCCAGGCACGTCCCACCAGGAGGAGGCCCAGAACACGCTGGAGAGACTATGTTTCTCTGCCTTGGGATTCCCCCAGAGGAGCTGGGTGGCTGGGGAGAGGGACGTCTGGGCCTCCCTACTGAAGCTGCTACCCCCGCGACCCGACCCCAGATGGATGATGGGTGGATGGATGGATGGATGGATGGATGGATGGATGGATGGATGGATGGATGGATGGATGGATGGATGGATGGATGGATGGATGATGGATGGATGGATGATGGATGGATGGATGGATGATGGATGGATGGATGATGGATGGATGGATGGATGGATGGATGATGGATGGATGGATGATGGATGGATGGATGGATGATGGATGGATGGATGGATGGATGGATGGATGGATGGATGGATGGATGATGGATGGATGGATGGATGATGGATGGATGGATGATGGATGGATGGATGGATGGATGATGGATGGATGGATGATGGATGGATGGATGGATGGATGGATGGATGGATGGATGGATGATGGATGGATGGAAAGTGATGAGGCGTGTACGGAGAGGACCTGTTGGTCTACAGCACTCTGAGAGGGGAAGAGACATGCAGCAAAGGACCGCAGGTCAGATTCGAACCCGGGTCGGCTAACCACTGTGCCAACTGCACGCCTATGCACAAAATGTCAGATCGTGCGTCCTGTAGAGTACAGGGGGGTAACGAGGGGCGATCGGCCTCTCTCAACCACCTCCCCATCAGGAATCGTAACGTCCGGAGAAAATCAAACAGGTTTGAAATTCAGTCGGCCGTCATGGGCAAACAAGCGCCGTTTCTCAATTCACTAGAACGCGTGTACGGACTCGTGTTCTCACCAAGTAAGTCGGGACTCTGGGAAAACAGGAGCACGCAGAATAAATCTGGGTCAACTGGAACAGAAGCGTAATGATGACATCACCACATTCAAGGCTAGTCTGGAGCTGCATTAATAGTCTCTACATCATAATAAACTCTGACATTTTTCATTTAGTGGAGGAATAATAATGACCACAGTCAGATAAACATTAATCAAATGAACATTTTACCAAATAAAACAATAAAACCTCCATCAGAGCCAGCGGTGCTTCCCGCTAAGCAGAGAGAGCGCTGCTGCAGACGGGCTAACGTCGCAGCATGTCTCCCTTCCTCTTCGTTTTTGCCACTGCGTGCCAATTTTTCACCACAGTGGGCCAGTAAAACTAAACCTTATCTTATCTAATCTTCCTTCCTGTAATCCCACAGCTTAGAGGCGACCCAGGCAGGTTTATGGCCGACTCACCCATGGGAGTGAGGTGAGAGACATCGCTGGGATTTTGGAGAAAACTCAAGAACTTGTAGATCTTTTCAAAGTCCACCACATATTCAAGTGCACTCCTTCTGCTTTCTGCAGCGGCGCGCTTCCTGGTTGGCCTGGACTTCGCAGGGCGCTTAGCCGCCGCGTCGGACAGCGGGGCCGAGGAGTCGGAAGAGGAAGGGCTGGAGGCGGGGAAAGGAGGCGATGCAGAAGCAGGCTGTGGATGTCCTGTTGGTGGGCTGGAGACGGCAGCAGCAGGAGACGTCTGTTTGACAGCCGGAGGGGTTTTAGAAGGTGCTGGGAGGCCTCTGCATGCTGCTGCTGCTGCTGCAGGAGGGATGATAAACAGGTTAGGAGGAACTCTGCCAGGGTTTTCACCTACGGCGAATAAAAACAGGATGAATGAGGATCTTAACAAAACAAAGGTTTTACAGCTTCTGTGTGGACGTAAGCTAAGCTAATGTTTACCACTCTGCCGGATGTTCCTTCAACACTCACCACCTGGTCTTTATCACAAACATCAGACCACTATCTTCATTTATTGGGATTTAGACACATTATTTTTCGGCTTTTGAGTTTTTGTTTTGTCCCAAAAAAATGAAAACCAGTCCGCTTATGGCATTAAATTAAATAAAAACAAAATCCTTAATGGGAGTTTCAGTGACTTCCTAAAATCCCAGGATTTTGGAGACTGGAAGAAAGTCCTGCTAATAGATCGTATTTTGGGCTAACTATAGCTTGGATACACTGTGGCTTTACCTTTTTTATACCTCATCCAAAATCGCTGGGTTATCCTGATCTATCTCTATAGTTCTGCTGCTATAGGCTTAGACTGCTGGAGGACATAGGGACCCCTTTTTCATCATTCTGCTTCATTCTATCTCTATTCTCCCACTCTGCAGAATCTGTTAGTTCAATCTCTGAACCAGGCTCAGTGTGAGCGGCCATCTGCTGAGGCCCACTGGGGTTCAAGGAGACAGAAGCAGACATAGAAAAAGAAGCATAGATACAAAAGGCAGCTGTTAAAGGCGGCCCCATCCAGGAAACACACAGCCAGACAGACGAGCTCCGAGCCAGCTCCCATGTCAGAGGATGAAGAGAGCACATCCAGTTAGTCACAGTCAGAGAAACAGGACTACACTGGAAAACAGGCCAAGCTCCAACATCTAGAAACAAAGGTGTTGATGGCAGCAGCACAGCTGATATTTCTCTCCAGGATGGAGTCACAGCCAAACAGGAACAGACCAGATGAAGCTACTATGAGAAAAAGCAGAGAGAGCAGAACGTTAGAGATTGAACTAACAGATTCTGCAGAGTGGGAGAATAGAGATAGAATGAAGCAGAATGATGAAAAAGGGGTCCCTATGTCCTCCAGCAGTCTAAGCCTATAGCAGCATATATGTAACGATCCAGAATCCCCTCATCCCATTGGTCGAGCCGAGTGTCGCTAACGGAAAAGATAGCGACACAACAGAGCATCAAAGTGGATAAACGGAGTAATTTAAATGGTGATGCTGCTTTTGGGGGCGGTGCATCTTCGCATAGCGAAGCTCCTCCTCCAGAAAAAAGGATGCTGAGATATTGGGAGGAATGGGAAAAAACAAATACCTGGGTGGAAAGAGTCACAGATGATGGATATAAAGCAAACTGCAAATAGAATTTAATTCAATGCAGATTTGAGTCAAATAGATAAAAAAAAAATATTTCACACAAAGAGGGGCTTAAAAAAATTGGGTAAATTGGGTCACATGAAGTGTCCCTTTTTTTTTTCCTTCAGGAAGTTAGCAACTCCACTGCTCACTAAAACCTGTGGAACAAACATGCTTCAACTTCTTAGATTGAGTTCTAGTCTAGATGTAGATCTATAAAGTCAGAGCTTCTAATGAGCTTTATGCTATTTTGGAGCTTTTATTTTGAAAAAAAATTTGGCGAGGCTAAATATTTTCCCTTTTTTCTTTCTTTAATCACCAATAAATCAGACATGCTGACATTAAAAATAGTGGCTCCACCTGAAAAATATTCCTCAAGCTTTTCTGTCACACAAAAACAAACTATTGTGTTTCCAATTTATAGTTTTTGGAGATAAACTTGCTTTAATTCACAGATGGAATTTCAGGGGGAATTTGCTCCCAAGACCCTCTGGGCTTAAAGGGTTAAAGGAGGTGGACATAAAAGCGATTCTAACAGAGATTTATATATATAGATATATTTAATAACGACACCAGGAAAACCAAACCGAATGTTGCATCTGATCCATTATATCATGAAAAGCTCAGTTAAAGCTGGTCCTCTTAGTGACGGCTTCACCTCTGGTATTTAGCGCCCCATCATCGGCGTATCGGCGTACCTTTCAGTGGCGAGCGGGGCCGTGGTCTGATCGGGACGCCGCGACCAGCAGGGGGCCTCCTGTCCCAGCAGGGATCAAAGCCGCTCAGAGCACAGGGCTCGATGGACGACACCGTCAGCATCTAAAACATAACGACAAATAAAATTAACATCAGAGCAAAATCAGAAGATGTTCCACTTTTTTCCAGAGAACCGGACGTTAAGCAGCTGTTCTAACGCCAAGGAACCAGATTACACATCCTCTATTATCTAAAGGTTACAGGATGATGTGGAAGAAGCAGATTATAAGCTGATAACTGCAGGGAGGAGCGGTTGTCATGATCATTAAATGAAGATAAATTACAGATTAATCACCAAGCTTATGATGCAGCTTTAATGAGATCATCTCCAACAGATAGAACCGGATAAGCAGCTGCTGGCTGCAGATTAAAACACAGTATGGAGCATATATATACATATATATATATATATATATATATATATACATATATATATATATATATACATATATATATATATATATATATATATATATATATATATATATAAAACATATATACATAAAACATTTAATTTGGTGAATAACTAGTTGGTTCATCATCAGCTGACAGACGTCATCAACTGTCCCTGGATGAAATGCAGTCATACAAAGATGAAGACGCTTTTGTCTCGTAGCAAAAAGACGATATAAAGAAACGTTCCAAACATCGCAGACAGTTTGAGGAAGAAAGTCTAATTAGCAAGATGCTAAGCATTAGCTATTTTTCTGATGTCAAAAAATGGACGTTGTGTGTCGATTTTTATAAGGGGGTGTAAATAATAATGGTTTTGTATCGATGCATCGATCCAACAGCCGACGATCCGATGCATCGATACGTTTTATTTTTTCCTCCTGTCTATTTTTATCCATTTGCTCCTGGGCGTAATTCTCCTCCCGTGCTGCGGTGGCGCTAAACCTATTTTGCCCTCCTACCTCGCTTCCTGGTTATACTCTTACAGCAGTGTGTTGCAGTGAGCTTGATGCAGACATTTTTGATTTATGCTCAATATTGCAGCGTGGTCTGTGCTACGCGCTGTGGGTCTAGATACGGAGGGACATGAGGGCCAAAAAGAGCGGAGATCCAGGTGGGAAAAGGCTCCCAGCGTTCTCGCGCACCTCGCTCTGCTAGCGGGTCAAACTTCACGAGTTTTTTTCAGCAATTTCGGTCATAAAAACAATATTGTTTATTGTTTCTCAATAAAATGCATAACGATATTACAGCTTTCATTGGTTTATTTCAAATTTGGAATTGTCTCGCCTGTAAAGTTAAAAAATAAAAAAATGAACCAATTAATGGAATCGAATCGTGGTGTATTCTTTAGTATTGAAAATAATCGAATCGTTGGGTCAGGAAATCGATACTGCATCGAATCGCCATGATGGATGTGATTTACACCCCTACTAATTAGCTACATGCTAAGCATTAGCTATGACCAGCTCATTTTTCTGATGTCAAAAAATGGACGTTTTGTGTCGATTTTCTTATCATGGATTATTTTTATTATGAATATTCTGGATTAATCTTAATCTGTGGGCCTTATAGATGAATGCAGTATAAACAACTGAAGATTGGATTAATGAAACGGCTTCTGGACGCCTTCAAAGGGAAGCTATATGTGATATATGTCTGCTAATCTAAGGCCCATAAAATGAACATGGGGGTTGAATTATTGACAATCTAAGCTTGTTTAAAATGTTTATATTGATAAAAGTTGAACCTTTGTAATTTTCAGGTTCTCTGAGTTAAACGCTTTTAAAACGGTCGCCGCAGATTTAAAGGTGACTCTGATTAGAGCGAATGAAGATCCTGCTGCGATCAAAGCTTCTGAAGGTGAGGAGGCTTTAGGACCTGCCGTCCTTTTCACCGTTAAACAGGAAAACATGGATGGATTTTAATGTCCGCCATGACGGTGGAACCTGGAGATGGGGGGGTTTATACGGTGGCCCTGAAGTGCAAACTGCAACTACAAATCTAAAAGTGCAACTACATTAAGGAAATCGCAACTACATAAAGCAAAGCACAACGACATTAAGGAAATCGCAACTACATAAAGCAAAGCGCAACTACATTAAGGAAATCGCAACTACATAAAGCAAAGCGCAACTACATTAAGGAAATCGCAACTACATAAAGCAAAGCGCAACTACATTAAGGAAATCGCAACTACATAAAGCAAAGTGCAACTACATTAAGGAAATCGCAACTACATAAAGCAAAGCGCAACTACATTAAGGAAATCGCAACTACATAAAGCAAAGCGCAACTACATTAAGAAATCGCAACTACATAAAGCAAAGCGCAACTACATTAAGGAAATCGCAACTACATAAAGCAAAGTGCAACTACATTAAGGAAATCGCAACTACATAAAGCAAAGCACAACGACATTAAGGAAATCGCAACTACATAAAGCAAAGCGCAACTACATTAAGGAAATCGCAACTACATAAAGCAAAGCGCAACTACATTAAGGAAATCGCAACTACATAAAGCAAAGCGCAACTACATTAAGGAAATCGCAACTACATAAAGCAAAGCGCAACTACATTAAGGAAATCGCAACTACATAAAGCAAAGCGCAACTACATTAAGGAAATCGCAACTACCTAAAGCAAAGCGCAACTACATTAAGGAAATCACAGCTACATAAAGCAAAGCGCAACTACATAAAGCAAAGCGCAACTACATAAAGCAAAGCACAACTACATTAAGGAAATCACAGCTACATAAAGCAAAGCGCAACTACATAAAGCAAAGCGCAACTACATAAAGCAAAGCGCAACTACATTAAGGAAATCGCAACTACCTAAAGCAAAGCGCAACTACATTAAGGAAATCACAGCTACATAAAGCAAAGCGCAACTACATAAAGCAAAGCGCAACTACATAAAGCAAAGCGCAACTACATAAAGCAAAGCACAACTACATTAAGAAAAACACAATCACATGAACCTACCGGAAAAGGTAGGTACCAATGGGAAACATGAGACATCGCTGATTGGACGACGGCGCCGTTTGACCCTTGAACCGGAAGTTGCGTCGTCTGAACAGTCCAGCTTCTTTTAAGTGTGTCTTCAGTGTACGCAAACTAACTGAAATTTCGTGATTAGTCTTGAGCATATCCAGTATCACCTCGTACGTATGTCTTGATTCAAAATATTCCTGGATAACGGCAGCTATGTTTGGGGCGCTGACAATATCCATGTTTTCAAAAGCCGCAGCAGGCAGAATGACTTCCGGTTCAAGGGTCAAACGGCGCCGTCGTCCAATCAGCGATGTCTCATGTTTCCCACTGGTACCTACCTTTTCCGGTAGGTTAATGTAATTGTGTTTTCCTTAATGTAGTTGCGCTTTTAGATTTGTAGTTGCAGTTTGCACTTCAGGGCCACGTAGGTTTACCTGAGAGAAGGCGGCAGATATGAGCGTTTCCATGGTTCCGCTCAGAACGGAGGCCGTGTGCGTCCACCACTGGATGGGCCTCCAGGCCCGCTGCTCCTCGCGCTGCTTCATTCTCAGCTGGAACCTGGCTGATGACATCACTCTTCCCTTCAGAGAGTCCACCATGGCGCGGACCTGTAACCACACGTCACCTGACCCGTTACATCATCCACACCTTCCACTGATCTCTATTCACTGGATTGATGATTCCAGGGTGAAGCCACCAGCAGCCATATTGGTACTCCCTACTTTCATAAGATCAGTAGATTAACTTTAACTTAGAATAAAATAACAGGCCAATCACATTGCAGAGTCATTATGAAGTCTATAAATCATGTAATATAACATATTATACAAATAAATCACAATAAAATTAATGTGTTAATGTAATATCAGGGTTCCTACAGCATCAGGCAAGTTAAATTCATTCGCATTCAGCTCGGCAAAGAACTCATGCTCTTCCTCAACACTGAAGTCCTCAGACATTTTTCTTTCGTTGTTTCTTTCTTTGCACAGGTAAACAGCACATTTCTTCTTCTACGCTTGCATTATCGGCAGAGCAGACGCTGAATGCGCACTTTCATCTGGTTTGGTCTGCCGCGGTTTCCGTAGACTCGTGAACGCGCTCTCAGGAAATCCTATACACTACTGTTTATGCTCTAAAAACTTTCTAAATGACTTTGTTTCGAGTAAATTCTGGATGCTACCCACTCAGGACACTTGGAATACATTGGACGAGCAGTATGGAGGAATATTGACACGTTTTTTGTGGACTTTTATGGACCTTTCTGCCTCGGGCGCCATAGACCTCCATTATTTGAATGTCAGCAGACAGCAAGAAGCCTCCCAGATCTCCAGATGCATTTGAGATATCAACAAAGTACTCCAGAGTGTTGTTCAGCATGGGGGTGAGTAGAAAATGAAGGCTAATCATGTTTTGGGTGTACTATTCCTTTAAGGACCCGCGGGAACCCTGGATATACATGTATTTATTGCATTGTTATGGTAATTACATCTTACACATGACTTCAAAATTTTACATAAGGACTGAATTCCATGTCCGATAACGCTGCAGGATTTTCCTGTTTTTAAATTCTGCATGAATGATCATCTATACTCTATGCATCAACACCTTTGTTTCTAGATGTTGGAGCTTCACTATCTGTGAATTAGCCTTTAAAAAAGTTTTTTCCATTTTTTTCTTTTTTGTTTCTCCTAAAAAAAGAAAGAAGAAATAAAGGAATGTTTGAGTTGCTTTTGTTTTCACCAATATAACCTGCAATATACTTCAGTTCATAACTTTTTAAATGAGAAAAACAACCAACTCTCCAAAAACGACATCATTATCCATTTAATAAAGAATTCCTACATTAACATTTCCCAGTGAATTACTTTCTATTTCCTCAACTTTTTATTTTCTAACATTAGACCCAATGTCAGTGTCTAACTCAGACTAAAGTTACGCTACAAACTATACAGTCATGGCCCAAAGGATTGAGAATGACACAAATATATTTTCTCATAATCTGCTGCCCTCTGGTGTTCATGTTAGATGTTGCATCACATATAGAAATACAATAGCATCATATTCTGAGCAACCAAAGCTTTTAATGACAGAATGAGTTCATGCAGCAGGTCAATATTTGCAGTGTTGACCCCTCTTCTTCAGGACATTTCTCCCTGGCTGCTCTCAACCAACTTCTGGACCAAATCCTGACTGATAGCGTCCATTCTGCTCCATCAATGCTTGCATTTGGTCAGAAGGTTTTCGTTTGTCCGCCCGTCTCTTGATGATTGACCTCAAGTTTTCAATGGGATTAAGATCAGGGGAGTTTCCAGGCCATGGACCCAACATCTCAATGTTCCGTTAGATATCAGCTTTGCTTTATGGCGAGGTGCTCCATCATGCTGGAAAAGGCATCGTTCATCACCAAACTGCTCTGGGACGGTTGGGAGAAGTTGCTCTGGGAGGACATTCTGGTTCCGTTCTTTATTCATGGCTGTTTTTAGGTCAGACTGGGAGAGAGCCGACTCCCTTGGCTGAGAAGCAACCCCACCATGAATGGTTCCAGGATGCTTTACAGTCGGCATGAGACCAGACTGGTGGTAGCGCTCACCTGGTCTTCTCCCAACCAGCTGTTTTCCAGATGTCCCAAACAATGGGAAAGGGGATTGCTGAGAGGAAATGACTTTCCCCCAGTCCTCAGCTGTCCCCTCCCTGGACCTTTAGCAGAATATCAGTCTGTCCCTGATGGTTTTCCTGGAGAGAAGTGGCTTCTTTGCTGCCCTCCTTCAGACCAGGCCTTGCTCCAAGAGTCTCCGCCTCACAGTGCAGATGCACTCACACCTGCCTGCTGCCATTCCTGAGCAAGCTCTGCACCGCTGGCAGCCCCATCCCGCAGCTGAAACACTTTCAGAGACGGTCCTGGCGCTCGCTGGTCTTTCTTGGCGCCCTGGAGCCTTTTTGGCAGCAATGGAACCTCTCTCCTTGAAGTTCTTGATGATGCCATAGATTGCTGACTGAGGAGCAATCTCTCTAGCTGCCATTCTCTTTCCTGTTCAGCCATCTTTGTGCAGTGCAATGATGACTGCAGGTGTTTCTTTAGAGATAACCATGGTTCACAGCAGAGGAACAATGATGCCGAGCAGCAGCGTCTGTTTAAAGTGTCCAGTGGCGTCATTCTGACTGAATCCTGACAGATTGATCTGCAGCCCTGTCCTCATCACCACCCACACCTGTTAATGGACCAATCACTGAAACCATGTTAGCTGCTCCTTTAAGGCAGGGCTGCAATCACCATGAAATGTGTTTTAGAGATAAAGTTCGTTTTCTAGGCAAATATTGACTTTGCAATTAATTGCTGTTACGCTGATCACTCTTTAGAACATTCTGGAGTTTATGAAAATTGCCGTTATAAAACTAAAGCAGTAGACTTTGGAAATATTAACATTTTAATCATTATCTAAACTTTTGGCCATGACTGTCAGGGCTCGATGTTAACAATCGCCCGATCTCCCGGGGCAAGTAGTTTTTATTGTTGGGAGAGTACAAATTTCATTGCATTGCAGTACAACGATCGCAAAAAAAAAAAAATTATCACTCAAAATTACTTTAAAAATCACCGACTTTCAATGAAAACGACCCAGAAGCGTTGCCGGCGCCATTTTTGTTGTTTTGTACACATTCTCACGTGATTTTCCACCAGATGGTGGTATTTTTTCAGTGAATTGGCACAAATTGGACACATTTTTTTCGACTTGGCAGGCTAAAAAAACAACAAGGCAAAAAAAAAAAAGAACTTTTAGTACAGTAACACATCCACCACCCATCCTCATCCATTCACTAAACATTTTCCAAGCAAACAACAGTTTAAAGCAAAGTTTAGTTAGAAAAGAATGTGTAGGAAGGATTTAAAAGCATGTTAACATGGTAATGTAGGCTGGAGTTCATTATCTGACGGAACTATATTTATCAAACATTATACTGGGCAAGTAAAATTTGTTTCTGGGCAACTGAAATGTGAAAGTCACTTGCCCAAAGGGCAAGTGGTAAAAAACCTTAACGTCAACCCCTGACTGCACTATACAATCCATTGGAGTATAGATGGACTTATTGCTCAGCTCAGAGGTCTTCAACAGGGGGTCCACAGAGATGGGGGGGGGGGGGGGGGGGGGGGGGGGGGCACAAAAGCTTTGGTTGATTAGATTTTTTTTTATATTCCCTCTGCAATTTTTTCCACTAATTAAAAATGTTTTTAAATCCACATGAACATGAATCCAACAGACTGTAGTAAACAGATAAATGGAGGCAGAACATGTCTTTCAGTCATCAATGCTCACATTCAGAGACACACAGGAGCTCTTTAAGCTGGACACCGTTTCATTCACAACACCTGTCCCATCAACCAGGAATCAGAAATACTTTAATAATCCCAGGGAGGGATTACTTTAGTTACATTACTCCATCTGTAATAGAGTGACTGTAAAACACAATTATGTCTGAGGAACGTTTTCCTGCAGCACAGTGAGGCATTTTGACTGCGTGTCTGTGGCAGAGTGGGGAGTACCAATATGGCGGATGATGGCTTCATTTTTTCAGGCGATCAGCATCCAGTGAATAAATGGAGATCAGTGAGTTCATCACAAACATCCTCCTGTTCTTTTAGAGCTTCAACCTTTGGATCAGAAATACTGAGTTTTCTCATCTTCCTCATCCTGATTCTTCAGATGTAAAACAAGCTGGAAATATTCAAAAGTCTAAAAGTGAGAAAATGTTTGCAGTCGTTCCAGCCCGAGTTCAGCAGACTGTAGAAATCTTTCCTCCAGGCTGAGTCCTAATCAGAGCCACCACTAGAGGGCAGCATAACGCTGTGGATAACTGGAGCTCAACAGCTGTTACTGATCCTTTTCCGTTTGATTTTAAAGTTTTCTATTAATAAAATCCTAAAGATTTAAAGTGATGAAAGTTTTTTTTTTTACCCACAAATACTAAACAAAACTCTACATGTTGATTTTATGTTCAAAGAAATCCTGGTTTTATTTCATTTCCCAGCAGCTTTTATTCATTTTTTAAATAAACATTATTTTCCTTTCTAAATCCATGGAGGCTGCAGGGCTGAGAACGTTAGCTTAGCATAAAGCTAACCTGAGGAACACCTAAAAACCGTCCTCCAATCAGGACGCGGGTCCAATCCAGCCCCTCAGGGCAAATTATTCGGCCCTCAGGGGCCAAAAGACCCAAATCATTGAACATTTATTCCTGTTTCATTAAAATTTTAATTTGGAAAAAGAAAAAAGTGCTTTTAAAAAATAGACCTTTGATTCTGTTTTTAAGACCATTTATCAGTTTGTCTGTTTTTTTATTTATTTATAGATTTTATTTCTACCAGTTTTCCCCCAATTTCATTTTTTCAGATTTTATTTTTTATAATTGGATAGTAATGGTTCCTTAAAACTTTTTTTACAAAATGAAACCAGACGGAATTCTGGATTATAGAGCAGATTGACCAAGAAAAGGATTCTCAATTTCTGTGAATCGAGAATCTGACTGTAGATCTACAGTCACAGATCTACAGCCGATCATTTCTAGATCTACAGTTGATCATTTCTAGATCTACAGCTGATCATGTTCTAGATCTACAGTTGATCATGTTGTAGATCTACAGCTGATCATGTTCTAGATCTACAGCTGGTAATGTTCTAGATCTACAGTTGGTCATGTTCTAGATCTACAGTTGGTCATGTTCTAGATCTACAGCTGATCATGTTCTAGATCTACAGCTGATCATGTACATCTACAGTTGATCATGTTCTAGATCTACAGTTGATCCTTTCTAGATCTACAGCTGATCATGTTCTAGATCTACAGTTGATCATTTCTAGATCTATAGTTGATCATGTTCTAGATCTACAGCTGATCATGTAGATCTACAGTTGATCATGTTCTAGATCTACAGCTGATCATTTCTAGATCTACAGCTGATCATGTTCTAGATCTACAGTTGATCATTTCTAGATCTACAGTTGATCATGTTCTAGATCTACAGTTGATCATTTCTAGATCTACAGTTGATCATGTTCTAGATCTACAGTTGATCATTTCTAGATCTACAGCTGATCATGTTGTAGATCTACAGCTGATCATGTTCTAGATCTACAGTTGATCATGTTCTAGATCTACAGTTGATCATGTTCTAGATCTACAGCTGATCATGTTCTAGATCTACAGTTGATCATTTCTAGATCTACAGCTGATCATGTTCTAGATCTACAGTTGATCATTTCTAGATCTACAGTTGATCATGTTCTAGATCTACAGTTGATCATGTTGTAGATCTACAGTTGATCATGTTCTAGATCTACAGTTGATCATGTTCTAGATCTACAGTTGATCATGTTCTAGATCTACAGCTGATCATGTAGATCTACAGTTGATCATGTTCTAGATCTACAGTTGATCCTTTCTAGATCTACAGCTGATCATGTAGATCTACAGCTGATCATGTAGATCTACAGTTGATCATGTTCTAGATCTACAGTTGATCATGTTCTAGATCTACAGCTGATCATGTTCTAGATCTACAGTTGATCATTTCTAGATCTACAGCTGATCATGTTCTAGATCTACAGTTGATCATGTTGTAGATCTACAGTTGATCATGTTCTAGATCTACAGTTGATCATGTTGTAGATCTACAGTTGATCATGTTGTAGATCTACAGTTGATCATGTTCTAGATCTACAGTTGATCATGTTCTAGATCTACAGTTGATCATGTTCTAGATCTACAGTGGATCATTTCTAGATCTACAGCTGATCATGTTCTAGATCTACAGTTGATCATGTTCTAGATCTACAGTTGATCATGTTCTAGATCTACAGCTGATCATGTAGATCTACAGTTGATCATGTTCTAGATCTACAGTTGATCCTTTCTAGATCTACAGCTGATCAAGTTCTAGATCTACAGCTGATCATGTAGATCTACAGCTGATCATGTAGATCTACAGTTGATCATGTTCTAGATCTACAGCTGATCATTTCTAGATCTACAGCTGATCATGTTCTAGATCTACAGTTGATAATTTCTAGATCTACAGCTGATCATGTTCTAGATCTACAGTTGATCATGTTGTAGATCTACAGTTGATCATGTTCTAGATCTACAGTTGATCATGTTGTAGATCTACAGTTGATCATGTTCTAGATCTATAGTTGATCATGTTCTAGATCTACAGTTGATCATGTTCTAGATCTACAGTGGATCATTTCTAGATCTACAGCTGATCATGTTCTAGATCTACAGCTGATCATTTCTAGATCTACAGTTGATCATTTCTAGATCTACAGTTGATCATGTTCTAGATCTACAGCTGATCATGTTATAGATCTACAGTTGAGCACGTTCTAGATCTAGAGTTGAACACGTTCTAGACCTACAGTTGATCATTTCTAGATCTACAGCTGATCATGTTATAGATCTACAGTTGAGCACGTTCTAGATCTAGAGTTGAACACGTTCTAGATCTACAGCTGATCGTGTTGTAGATCTACAGTTGATTATGTTGTAGATCTACAGTTGATTATGTTCTAGATCTACAGCTGATCATGTTGTAGATCTATAGTTGGTCATGTTGTAGATCTACAGTTGATCATTTCTAGATCTACAGCTGATCATGTTCTAGATCTACAGTTGATCATTTCTAGATCTACAGCTGATCATGTTCTAGATCTACAGTTGATCATTTCTAGATCTACAGCTGATCATGTTCTAGATCTACAGTTGATCATTTCTAGATCTACAGTTGATCATTTCTAGATCTACAGTTGATCATGTTCTAGATCTACAGTTGATCATGTTCTAGATCTACAGTTGATCATTTCTAGATCTACAGCTGATCATTTCTAGATCTATAGTTGGTCATGTTGTAGATCTACAGTTGATCATGTTGTAGATCTACAGTTGATCATGTTGTAGATCTACAGCTGATCATGTTGTAGATCTACATGTGGTTCTTGTCCAGATGAACTATGGTCTAACATAGAATGCACTCATTGCTCTGAGCTCCAGTCTGGTTCTGATTCAGCTTCTATCTGATGATTTTGTGCTCCATGTTTCTATTTGATCTCTGCTGAACTTTATGGATGAAAATGTTCTGAAAGTAACTGAACTAAAAGTCATTTTCTACACAGAATCAATAAAGAATAAAAATGTCTGAATCTGACGTCATACTGTGAGGTCCGGACTTTGACTAGGCCACTGCTTTGCTGATAGATCCGCTGACCCAGTCAGGAGGTTCAGGCTTTAGAAGCAGTTCAATCATGTATTAAATCAAAGGCTGGTTCTGTTGGTACCTCTGAGATGGACCGGGTCGGAACCCGGTTCTTCAGGATCACATAGTCGATGTCCCGCGGGGCTCCGGGCCCCTGCTGCAGCTCCTTCAGGGCTTCCAGCAGCTTCTTCAGCTCCACGCGCCCCCACCTCCGGACCGCGGGCTTCCTGCGGGGCTCCGGGGTCCCAGAGCGGATCTCCAGGTCCCGCTTAGTCCGAGCGCGAGGAGGCGGCTTCATCCTGAGACGCTCAGAGGCCGGATTAAAAAAAAACCTTCAGAAAGTTTGGAGGAAAAAAGTTCAGTTCAAATGAAAAACCTCCGGTTGTTGTTGATGATGCAGCTTCTTCTTCTTCTCTTTCTTTCTGTTTTACCGGTTGACTAACGATCTACTGGCGTTTTACCGCCACCTACTGGTCAGGAGGTCCGCAGGGAAACACATTTATCTCTCATTCGTTTTTAAACAGGAAATATTTTTTAATAGATGTCAGTCACTTTCACCTTTTTTAAATTTACCTTTTTAAAACATTTTGTGACAGAAAATAAAAATCTGTAAGTCGATCCTGTTCTCATCTCTCTGTCTTGTTCTTAAAATCACCTCTTCTTTTAGATGAAAGGATGCAGAGATGGAGAAAAGATCAAGGGAACCTGAAGACACATTATGTCATCAGTAGAAATAAAGTCATTTTATCAGGTTTGTAACTTTATATATCAAATATGATCAAATAAAATAAATGATTTCAGTTAGAGAGGAAGGGAGGCTGAATATTGGTGCATAAAATGATCTATGGGTGAAACTATTTTACCAAAGCATAGATCTATGTTAACCAGAGTCACAAATCCTTTAATGTTCATTATCGGCTGATTTATTTATTTTTTAATCTGTTTTTAAATATATTTGTTATTAATTCTGCTGCAAATACACCCGGTAAATAAAAATCATTTGATGTTTTTTTCACTCCAGTTTTTGGGTAAATTGATGGTAAATAATTATCTTTTTAGATATTTAAATGAACTTGATAGCAGTCCTATAATAATCCATCCGTTTTCTTAAAGGCTTAATCCCAGTGGGGTCACGAGGGGTGCTGGTGTTTATCTCCAGCTGTCACCAGGCGAGAGAGGCGGGGTCCATCTTGGACAGGTCACCAGTCCATCGCAGGGCAATATGATAATAATCCTTATGATGAATATTAATCAATTTTTGATCATGTTAACTTTAACCGTGAGTGATTTTAAACCAGTCTTTCTACGTTGTCTTTCCCAGTGAGCCAATAAAACCAGAAACCTGATCCAGATTTGGTTCGGTCCAAATTTGACCCAGAAACTGGATTAATTTTAAGCCGACATCATCAGGCTATATAAATAAAATGCTGATTTGTTTTATTTTTATGCCGCATTTTCTTTCATAAAAGTGCTTCTTTAATTATTATTAAATAGCAGTTTGAGGCGATATCGGATCTTTTCCTTTGTGAAATGAACCAGAAGACATTTTTTCTACCTAGAAAAGGAGCTAATTAGTTTAACTCTGTTTAGGTCATTTTAACTTTTAGTTAAAGTTAACCCTTTGCACTGAATAGCCCCAGGTACTGATGTTATCTGGTGCTTTGGCATGTCAATCATTGGAGTCCAGCGCCCCCCTCAGGCTCCGCCCCTCACTGCAGCCCACCTGGAGGCTCCTCTGAGCAAAGACAGAATGACTGGAGCAGCAAAGATTGGAAGGAAGGTTTTTAGTGTGTGTGTGTTCAGGGTGTGTGTGTTTTTAGTGTGTGTGTGTTCAGGGTGTGTGTGTTTGTGTGTTTTCGGGGTGTGTGTTTAGGGTGTGTGTGTTTTTAGTGTGTGTGTGTTCAGGGTGTGTGTGTTTGTGTGTTTTCGGGGTGTGTGTTTAGGGTGTGTGTGTTTTTAGTGTGTGTGTGTTCAGGGTGTGTGTGTTTGTGTGTTTTCGGGGTGTGTGTTTAGGGTGTGTGTGTTTTTAGTGTGTGTGTGTTCAGGGTGTGTGTGTTCAGTGTGGGTGTTCGGTGTGTGTGTTTGGTGTTTGTGTGTTTTCGGGGTGTGTGTTCAGGGTGTGTGTGTTTGGTGTGTGTGTGTTTGGTTTATGTGTGTGTTCAGGGTGTGTGTGTTTGGTGTGTGTGTGTTTGGTTTATGTGTGTGTTCAGGGTGTGTGTGTTTTGGTGTGTGTGTGTTTGGTTTATGTGTGTGTTCAGGGTGTGTGTGTTTTTGGTGTGTGTGTTTGGTGTGTGTTTTGGTGTGTGTTTTTGGTGTGTGTGTTCAGGGTGTTTGTGTTTGGTGTGTGTGTGTTTGGTTTATGTGTGTGTTCAGGGTGTGTGTGTTTTGGTGTGTTTGTGTTTGGTGTGTGTTTTGGTGTGTGTGTTTGGTGTGTGTGTTCAGGGTGTTTGTGTTTGGTGTGTGTTTTGTGTGTGTTTGGTGTGTGTTTTGGTGTGTGTTTTTGGTGTGTGTGTTCAGGGTGTTTGTGTTTGGTGTGTGTTTTGTGTGTGTTTGGTGTGTGTTTTGGTGTGTGTTTGGTGTGTGTTTTGGTGTGTGTTTTGGTGTGTGTGTTTGGTGTATGTATGTTCAGGGTGTGTGTTTTGGTGTGTGTGTGTTTTAGTGTGTGTTTTTGTGCATGTGTTCAGGCTGTTTGTGTTTGGAGTGTGCTTTTGGTGTGTGTGTGTTTGGTTTATGTGTGTGTTTTTGGGGTGTGTTCAGTGTGTGTTTTTGGGGTGTGTTCGGTGTTTGGTGTGTGTGTGTTCAGGGTGTGTGTGTGTTTAGTGTGTGTGTGTTCAGGGTGTGTGTGTTTTTAGTGTGTGTGTGTTCAGGGTGTGTGTGTTCAGTGTGTGTGTTCAGGGTGTGTGTGTTTGGTGTGTGTGTGTTTGGTTTATGTGTGTGTTCAGGGTGTGTGTGTTTTGCTGTGTGTGTGTTTGGTGTGTGTTTGGTGTGTCTGTTTGGTGCATGTGTGTTCAGGGTGTTTGTGTTTGGTGTGTGTGTTGTGTGTGTTTGGTGTGTGTTTTGGTGTGTGTTTTGGTGTGTGTGTTCAGGGTGTTTGTGTTTGGTGTGTGTTTTGTGTGTGTTTTGGTGTGTGTGTTTTGGTGTGTGTGTTCAGGGTGTTTGTGTTTGGTGTGTGTGTTGTGTGTGTTTGGTGTGTGTTTTGGTGTGTGTTTTGGTGTGTGTGTTCAGGGTGTTTGTGTTTGGTGTGTGTTTTGTGTGTGTTTTGGTGTGTGTGTTTTGGTGTGTGTGTGTTTTAGTGTGTGTTTTTGTGCATGTGTTCAGGCTGTTTGTGTTTGGAGTGTGCTTTTGGTGTGTGTGTGTGTTTGGTTTATGTGTGTATTTTTGGTGTGTGTTCAGTGTGTGTTTTTGGGGTGTGTTCAGTGTGTGTTTTTGGGGTGTGTTCGGTGTTTGGTGTGTGTTCAGTGTGTATTTTTGGTGTGTGTTCAGTGTGTGTTTTTGGGGTGTGTTCAGTGTGTGTTTTTGGGGTGTGTTCGGTGTTTGGTGTGGGTTCAGTGTGTGTTTTTGGGGTGTGTTCGGTGTGTGTTTTTGGGGTGTGTTCAGTGTGTGTTTTTGGGGTGTGTTCAGTATGGGTTTTGGTTGTGTGTGTCAGCTTTGTGTGTTGGGTTCTCTGCAGTGGCTGCATGATGATGTTGGTGGATGAGTCACCCTGTTTTCTCCATCATGAATCACTGCACCTCTGTGTGGGCAGAGCTGCAACCATCACCTCTGCATTCCTCCTGATTTCTTTTCTGCTTTACTTAACTGATTATTTTGCTCCTGTTGTTTATTTCGTTTCATTAATATTTCCTTTTTCTAACTGATTCTATTGGTGGAAACATGTAAACCATTTAGTCTCATCTTAGGTTGAAATAAAAAGGTTTCTCAGAACCTCTTCCTCCTCAGTGGACAACAGCTGGACTGAACCCGAGCGACTGTTGCTGCGGCTCTCTGAGGATCTTTTTCCACATTTCAATCTCTTCATTATAGTTTGATTCTTTAATTGAAGCAGATTTATGATGGTATGAAATAGTAAACTGTTAATGAGGGAATGATGGTGAAAACACATATTCACAAATAGGATCCTGTGAATAATTGTAATAAATAAGTCGCTGCAATATTTTCTTTTTTAATTCAAAATTTAGATGTTTAAAAAGTAATTTATTGTGTTTTATCTCTTTAATTGTCTCTTTTGCTGATGTTTTGGAATTATGCACTTATTAAAATAAGGAGATGGGAGTGTAAAAACATATAAACAGTGGATCATTAGATTTATAATCTATTATATTAAGCACTGCTTTTTTACATCAAAACAGTGCTTACTTACATTGATGCAACTTTTTAATGAAATGATTAATAAAAACAACATCCACAGAGTGGAACAAAATGAAAGTACTAATTTTAAAGAGAAATAGATAAAGAAAAATCATTTTATTACATTTGATGGGTCCAAAATGTATCAATGGTCGTTTCTCACTATGTGTTCTTGTGCGTTCTCGTGTCCTCGTGAAACATCATCATCCTCAGCCCTAGTGCTGCTCCAATTCACAAGAACAGCAGACCGAGAACGGACAAAGTCCCCGGATGTAGTTTTGGCCCCTCCCTCTTTACCCAGCATGCATCAGAGCAGACTTGTCCGTCCTCCAGACTGACAGATGTCCCAGCATGCACTGCAGCAGCAGCTTCCAGGTTAACGCTCACAGAGCTCAGAGGATTAAGTTAAAAGTTTTCTTTTCTGTTGCTGTGGTTCAATAAAAGTACGTTTTAAGATCATTTGAGGCGAGAAAATTATACTTTAAGCTTCACTATATGGAACATTTAGGACCGGGGCAACCAGGTCCTATATATGTGTGTGTGTATGTACATATATATATAGGAAATCCTATACACTACTGTTTATGCTCTAAAAACATTCTAAATGACTTCGTTTCGAGTAAATTCTGGACGCTACCCACTCAGGTCACTTGGAATACATTGGACGAGCAGTATGAAGGAATATTGACACGTTTTTGTGGACTTTTATGGACCTTTCTGCCTCGGGCGCCACAGACCTCCATTATTTGAATGTCAGCAGACAGCAAGAAGCCTCCCAGATCTCCAGATGCATTTGAGATATCAAAAAAGTACTCCAGAGTGTTGTTCAGCATGGGGGGAGTAGAAAATGAAGGCTAATCATGTTTTGGGTGTACTATTCCTTTAAGGAAGTAAAAAAAACTACAAAAAAAAAAAAAACTCAAAGTCTTTTACATTTTGAGAGTTTAGATAGTTTGACTAAATGCAATAAACATTTTCTATGGACGGTTTATGGAAACTGACCCCATTTCTACGGCGGTCAAATGTCAAATGTAAAAAAAAAACAAAAAAAACAAAGAAAAACAAGTTGTGG